TATTATTATTAGGAGAAGGGGGGTCAGATGGGTAGCGTTGACGATGGTCACCATGGCCCAGTATTGTCAACAATACTGAGCCATCACCCTTTGGTACTATGGCCACCAACCAGCAGTATTTTTTTACATGTTAAAAACTGAAACGTAAATTCATCAAAAGATAAGGCCGTATCATCTGCTTCCACGTTAGCGCGAGCTTACGTTTTTAACCGGTGACTGTTTTTCTGTTACCCAGCCATCGTGCCCAACGCGCTGCAGGGCAAGTGCTCCCAGTGCACGCAGCAGCAGAAGGTGATCATCGGCTCCATCGTGCAGACCATGCAGAAGAAGTTCCCCAACGAGTGGGAGAAGCTCCTCCAGAAGTACGACCCGGAAAAGAAGTACCGCGAGGACATCCTGGCCCTGGCCAAGGCCGTGCCCACCGGCGCCCCCACCGCTGCCGCCGCCGCCACCACCGCCAAGCCCTAAGCGGCCCCGGACACGGCCCCGGCCGCGCCCGAGCACGACGCCGACGAGACCTACGGACCTTCCCGACGAACGCACTGGACCAGGAACGCGACACCAGCGGCAAGCAAACCGGACGACGACGCCCATCGCATTTTGATCACATCTCATGAATAAAAAAAAAGCTTTAATTCTCCTGCTAAATTTCGAATTTATCTTATCATTCCCCCCACCTACCACCAACATAGGCTACACTCCCCGTTTTTGTCAGTTTTGCAACACTTGTCTCTCCTCTCAACGATTCGTCCATTTCTGACATAAGAAGCCCATTTTAACTAATGCGGCACAGAAATTAAGTTGTATTTCATTCTTTACGCTTGTTTGCCATACTGCTGCGTCTTGTTGGTGATCCAGTCCATGTGCTGTGACACGCTGGTGAGTACGGACGGGTACGGCTGGCTGCCGCAGTCTGTGAGGCCCCAAGACACCAGACCGACGAGGGTCTGCGGCGCCTGGTCGTCGTCTGCGTCCTGGCGCTGGACCAAAGGCCCACCGCTGTCACCCTAGAGGGGGGAGGGGGCGTAATGTAGCTGCAGCGTTTTGAACGGGGCGAGGTATTTTTCTCGCGTCACTCCTCTTTAGAACCCGAAGTCAGAGGTCATCTCGGACTAATTTCTATCATCTGCGAGGTCAAAGGTCGCGCTGCGCCATACTTACGCTGCAGGAGCCGAGGTGCGCCGCGTCCAGGTGGCCGACGCACAGCATGCTGGGGTCCAGGGGGTTGTAGCGGCCCTGGTTGATACGGTCCAGGAAGGCCCGGCAGGCCGCGTAGTCGATGACGGGGAAGTCGGCCCTCTGCAGCTTGTCGGGGTACACGGGTTGGTCGCCGTCCTCGCTGGTGCTGCCCCACCCGGATAGCGAGGCGACGCCTGCGAGAACATAATCCTGTGATGGCCCGCTCAGAGACAAGACACTCTCCCTCTCTCTCTCCTTACCGGCGGGGGCCTCGTAGGCGTGGGGCAGCCTGGCGAACCGCACCGCCTCCGACTCCACGGCGGCCTCGGACAGCCCGAGGAGCGCGATGTCGTGCGGGTGGATGCCGCGGACGTACTCCTCGTGGACCAGCATGTCCCGGACGCGGATGCGCTGGTGCGAGCCCCACCAGGACCAGGGCCAGCGCGCGGCAGACAGCCGGGTGACGCCCAGCACCACCTCGACCCGCTTGGCCTCGGCGGGCACGCCGAGCACGCAGTGGGCCGCCGTGAGCGCCCACCGAGCTGCGACGAGCGCGCCGCCGCACAGGTGCTGCGGGGCCGCGTCCCACCAGGGCAGCCACCCGGGCAGCACCACCTGCATGGAGGCCTGGTGCGGGAACTCGCCGGGCCGCGCGTCGCTGCCGCCCACGATGTAGTCCCGCTGCACCGGGGGCCCGCGGCGTGCGCCCGCCGCGCCCAGCGGGCCCAGCGCCGCCAGGGCGAACGGGGAGGAGGTGGAGATGTCGTCCGGCGGCGTCCTCGCGGCCGCGGACAGGCCTGTCGACACCACGCTCTCATTCACACGCTCATTGACGGTGCCGATGATTAAACAGCAGAGCGTGACCACGTAGTGGTCGCGTCACACTGAACATCGCACGTCACTTTTAGATGGGCAGAGTACTTTTTCCACGATAAGTTAAATTGGAGGTTAGATACACTTTATTGTGATAAACAATATCATTATCAATGACATTTTTCATGGTGGGGCTATTTTATCTTGAAAAAGAAATCTACCCTGTGCCATGCCCATGCACCTTCAACGTCGTAAGATACGTGTGTACCAACAAAAGATGTTAATTTCTAAAGTCGACAAATGGCTCACCGTAGGCGGCGACCAGGACGGCGCAGAAAACAGCAAGAGCTGAGGACATCCTAGGGGGACGTGCGAAGTCGAGTGCGGCGTCGAGTGTTGTGTTGCAATTCGGGAGCCCCGTAGATAGCGTAGTGTAGGGGCGAGCAGGGTGAGCACTGTGTAGTGGGCGTGCCGTGCGGAGTGACGTGCCTACCCCGACCCCCTCGAAGCCTTGTTGCCGACTCTGGTGTGACACACAACTATAAATGAGATTTTTGTTTCTTGAAACAGTGAGACGGGCGCGGCGGGGTTGGGGGTAACAGCAGGCCCTACTATCTTGATTTTGTTGCCTAAAAACGTGGAGGCTCGGTGACGCGCGTAATCTAAGAGGGCCAAGAAGAAAAATGGATCTAAACTGCGAACAGAGAGGCTAGCGCGGGCTAGCGCCTGGTGCGTAGGCAAGCGATCGTCGCACAGCGCAGCGGCTCTGAGCGGGTGGCCTACCCTGGGGATGGCAGGCGTCCAGCTCCCAGAGACCCGCTCGTCCCGAAGTAGCCGGCACCCGCGCCCACGCACTGCGAAAGCGCCAACAGGAAACAACAAGTCGCTCCGGCCAGGTCGCTGCGACGGTCGCAGATTTGTGAGCGCTAAACTCGTCGGCAGATAGACTATCTGTTGTGGTGCGGGGAGGCGGCCCATCGAGTACCGCAGCCGTTTATCGCCGCATGGCCGGAGGACTCTAGAGACGCGCGACACTTAAGGACCCGCGGCAGAAGCGGTCAGGACAATCGCGTGCAGCATGTCGCCGCCCGCGAGCGTCCTGCTGGCCTGCGCGCTCTGCGCGTCGGGCGCCCTCGGTGAGTGCATTAGGCCCCTCGGAAGAGAACAGGCGGAGTGAACTTCGAGATTTAGAGCTACTGTATAATGTTTGGTCTTTTCGTTTGACAAGACATGTCGGTTATGTCTCAGGCGCCGCCCTCCCGCACGCTCTGGACGTCTCCGTCAAAGAGGTTGTCCTCGGGTCGACGCCGTCCCCCGGCTCGCCGGCGCGGCCCTCGTACCCGTTCGCCCCGGTGCCTCTGGGCCTCGGCCACCGCCGTTTCGTCGACATCGGCAACCAGATCGTGGACGGGAACAACGCGGACGTCAACAAGTTCCCGCACCAGGTGTCCATGCAGGTGGTGATGCCCAGATGGTTCGGCACGGAGGCCGACCCGCAGCACATCTGCGGCGGCACCCTGGTCGCCGAGCAGTGGGTGTTGACGGCCGCGCACTGCCTGTACGGCGTGCCCTCCAACGCCAGGAGGGTCGAGGTGCTGCTGGGAGTCTCCTTCCTCTCGGACAAGGGGAGCAACGCGCAGCGCATAGTCGTGAGCAGGATGCTGGCGCACGGCGACTACGTCCCCGCGGACGACACCCACAGCGGCGTGGGTCCTAACGACATCGCGCTGCTCAAGCTCTTCCACCGTGCCGTCCTGGCGCAGGTCGGCGGCGCGCCGAGGCTCGCCGCCCTCCCCACGGTCGACGTCGTCCCCGGCGTCCCCGGTGAGGGCTCGGAGCAGGGAGCGTGTCACGCGCTAATGTTGGGGGTTGGGTTTATTCCTCCCTCCCTGGCGAGTTACCCCGCCAGTAACAAAGTTAACATACGTACCCCTTGTGCCCCCCGCGTGCAGGTGACGCCACCCTCACTGGCTGGGGGAGCACCAGCACGGACAGCAACAGCCCCTCGTACCCGGACGGTCTCCAGCGGATCACCTTCCCCCTCATCACTTACTCGAGCTGTAACTCCTTCGTCTCCCGGTCGATCCCCAACGAGCCCAACCCGCTCGCCCCTTCCAACCTCTGCACGATGGACAAGCAGAATCCGCGGGCCTCCTCCTGCAGCGTGAGTGTAATCACAGAGGTGGGGTGGTAAATTCATGCCACCCTCCTCTTTAAAAAGTTACCCACCTCCCACCTCCCACGGAGATAAATTTTCCATGGTTTCTAGAATACTGAAATTCACAACCTGGAGTTCGAAAAGTCCCGTGGAAAAAGTATCCTCCCCTCTTTTCTCCACACACATACCGGGTCTCCGGGAGAATACGCGGCAGCTCGAAGGGTAGCCTTCTGGCTTGCAGGCGCCGAGGGCGAGAGGGGGAGCGTCGGGGATGGCTGGAGGAGACCGTGGCGACCGGCCACCTCCCGCCACCTCCACCTCTCCCCCTCTCGCCCTCGGTGCCTGCAAGCCAGAAGGCAACCCTTCACCCTTCGAGCTGCCGCGTATTCTCCCGGACACCCGGTACTCACAGGCCTTGCTTAGGCATTTTTACTTTTCAAAAAAGGTCAACAAAGGTGGAAGGTGGTACAAGAGGTCTTTTTCAAGTCTCTGATTTTTTCCCCCCTGAAAAGTCTCATTTTTTCCAATTTTTCTGGAAACATTTCAACTGTCGCCATTTTGTTTCTGAAAAAGTCTTCAATTTTTCTGGAAAAATTTCGGATTCTAAAGTCTCTAACCCTTGCATTGCCTGACTCGTGGCCGGCTTTTCGGCTCGCATGTGTCCTGCAGGGCGACAGCGGCGGCCCCCTTGTGCAGGCGCAGCCGGCGCAGCCGGACGGCTCGACCACCGTCATCGGCGTGGTGTCCTGGGGACTCAAGGACTGCGGCGCGGAGCTGTTCCCCTCCGTGTACACGCGCGTGTCCGCCTTCGTGGGCTGGATCAACGCCGTGGAGGCCAAGTACCAGTAGCGGCAGGCGAGACGCACCAGCCCTTCACCTGCCCGTCACCAGTCCGAGCCGAGAGAGGGGAAAGGAGAACGAAACAAAACAAAACAATAAAGACACCGCGACTTCGCATGGCATTTCATTTTTCAATCCAAGTGTACCGTTGGGGGTGGTTGACGGGGACCTAAATGAGCCCCACGGAAAGAGAGGGGCGCTCAAGGCAATTGGCAGAAATCGGCTATGACCGCGAGGGTGATCGGGGTGGTTGTTTTCCTAGAGTGACAGCTCACCCGCCCCGCCCCTGCCCGGCCCGCACTCCTAGCTGATCGAGTAGATAGCCGTATCGGTAGCCGCGGCGGGTCCCCGCGGACCTCCCGTCCCGTCCTGGGCCACTGCCGCGCGGAGCGCGTCCTGCTCAACATGTCCACCCTCGCCGTGCTCGTCCCGGCCCTCCTCGCCCTGGCCGCCAGCGCCAGCGCCGCCACCGTCCCCGCCGGTAGGTTCCCCCTCCCTCCGCCCTCCAGGACTTGACGTGTGAACGCCCCCCCCCCCCCCCTCTGCTGCCAGCCACCAGTAGAGTGGTGCGAAGGGTGCTTTCCCTTCTCTCCCGAGGAAAGAGCACCGCACCCCTTCTCATGACAGCGTTGGCCGTGGTGTCGGTGGTGTCGGCAGGCGCGGCCGTGCTCGAGGTGCCGCTGGCCTCCGACCGGGGCTTCCCCTTCTCCACGGCGCCGATGCCCCTGGGCGTGGAGAGGGTCGCCACGCCCCCGCGGCTGCAGATGGTGGGCGGCAAGGACGCCGCGCTCGGCCAGTTCCCCTGGCAGGTGTCCATCCAGGTCAGTTCGATGTTATTTTATTTTTTAATATTTTGTTTTGTTTTTGCGCTCGTAAGTTGGCGCGGTTCGCGCAACATCGCTCGTAATCCCCTCGTTAATTGCCTATTCGCCTTAGCGGCCGCGATCAAGGCGGCTGCGGTCTATCTGTAATCTCTTCTCTATCTAATCTAAGCGCGCATTCTACACTGCAAAAACGAAGGGTGGGGGGGGGGTTAATTGCGGGCGTACGGCTTTGTTGACATATGTGTGAGTCTTTTGCACAGCGACCCTAGGGCGTCCCCGCAATGAACAACGCCTCGCGAGGCAACGCTTCTGGCGCCTGCCACGCGCAGGGTAGGCCAACCCGCCGAGCAGCCGTGTGAAGTCGGCGGCCCGCCCAACCCAGCGCTCCCGAGTGCGAGAGCGTCACGTCCCTGTTTGCAGTAGCTGCACAATTGTAGCTACAACCCACGCGGCCACAGGCAGCTTCATCTGAACCTGCTGTAGAAAGAAGTCAGCTCACGTCCCTCTCCCCACACCCGGACAAAAATAAAAATACACATAAATGGGGGAGTACTTTCCTCATCCCACCGCAGTCATTAGCAACTTCTGTGATCGCAGGAACAGCCGCTTCCTTCTTCCACAGTGGTCAGAACACACTCCCGGGGTTTGTGGGGCGGTTGAAGCGTGCGTCGGTTAAACTGTACTGACCCACCACAGGTCATGGAACTCCTTTGCAGCCAGATTCTAGGTTTTATAAACGTACCCGCCACCACAGCAAGGTGCCAAGGAAAGGGGAATTCCCACGGCCCGCTTTCGGACCCCAGTCCTAGAGCCGAGTCATTTGCCACCTTCGGCGCATGGCATCCATCTGGACGGTAACCACTACGCCGTCGGAACTCCCCAAGGGGGACGTGGTGACATGGCGGGTTTGAAGTCCATTTGACATTTGGTGGCCTACGAAAAATTTCAGATCGCCGGAGATTCGAACCGCCGACCTTCCTGGGCGGGCGCGCTACCGACTGAGACGCAGAGAGGCGAGAAACGGGCTAAATTAATTAAGGTCCATGGGACGAGCCATTGTACACTATCGTTAACTGCTAAACAAACTTCAAATGTGAAGAATTTTTGTTTTTTGTTTCACACAACATATACTTATTTGTGCGTTTTGAAGTGCTAGGAACAATATAATCAAAAGATGGCGATAACTTTTTTCGGGTTCCTTTAGTGGGAGGTCAGACGGGACTTAGTCGCGGGGAGAGCGACACTTTGGGCCACTTCTTCTGTCTCTCTCGCTCTCATTGCGTCAGATGGGTGCAAGAGAGGCGGACGGAAGTGGAAGACCCGCCCGCTCATACAATCACTATACTTCCGCGTTGCAGACGCTGATCCCCAACACCATGTGGCTGAAGGCCGTGCCCTGGCACATCTGCGGCGGCTCCCTCGTCGCGGAGGGCTGGGTGCTCACCGCGGCGCACTGCATCTGGGGCGTGTCGCAGCGCAGCCTGCGCGTCGACGCCGTCCTCGGCATCGCCAACCTGAAGCTCCAGGCCGAGGGCGCGCAGCGCATCACCGTCGCGCGGATGTTCGCGCACGCCAAGTACGACCACTACGCGCGCGGGGGCGTGGGGCCGAACGACATCGGCATGCTCAAGCTCGCCAGGAAGGCCAAGCTCTCGGAGACGGTCAAGTTGGTGCCGATCAACAACGTCAACGGGGTTGACGGGGAAGGTGAGTGTCGTGAGGGCCTCGCCCCCCTGCTCGCCAGCCGCCAGGTTCGTGACCCTCGTCCTCGTCCTGCCCGCAGGAACCACCACTCTCTCCGGCTGGGGCAGCATCAGCCAGGACGGCAGCAGGCCCGTGTACCCCGAGCAGCTGCAGACCGCGGACTTCCCCATCGTCCCGCACGACAAGTGCATCGAGGCCCTCAACAATACTGAGCCGGCCGCGGTGCCGCTCCTGGCCGACTCCAACCTGTGCGTGGGGAACGTCTTGGGCTTGGCCTCCTGCAGCGTAAGTCCGGCCCGGTCACCTCGCCCTCGCTGGCCACTCACCACACCACCATCGCGATGCCGGCCGCCTTTGTGACTCTTCCTTGTCCTGCAGGGCGACAGCGGCGGTCCCTTGGTCAAGGAGGTCGACGGCGTCATGGTGCAGATCGGCGTGGTTTCCTGGGGCCTGACCAACTGCGGGTCCCTGCCGTTCCCCTCCGTGCTCACCCGCGTCTTCTCCCACGTCGCCTGGATCAACGCCGTGCAGAACAAGTACAAGGATTAACTGAACTATATCGCGGACAGTTGTCAATAAAGTGAACATGTAAAAATAAATATTCACACACACACACACAACTGCTCCAGGGCCATCAGAAAGTACCGATAACTTGAGAAAGGCGATACAGAGGAAAAGTGGCGCACCGGGTTGAATTTCCCGCCCCGGACAGCGCTCGGGGGCAGGTTGGCAGCACTGGCCACGTGAGGATCGTCTGCTGGTGTTGTGGTTGTGGCGAGAGCAGCAGCAAGCAAAACAACGGCATATGGCGTTTGTGGCGTTAAAAGAGACAGTGTCATCGCCCGTTTTGAATGAGTGAAATTGGTTTCGGCGCTGGGACAGGCAGGGTGACTGAGACCCCCTGCTGATGACATAGGCCCCTCTCCTCGTGACCGCTAGGCTGTCTGCCAGCCTTGTCACTCTGCTCGTCTAGGAAGTGACAGCTAACCTATGTCCGAGCCGCTGGGCCGTCACCCGTCTCTTGCTTCGGGTCGATCTCTGTAAAAGTCCCTGCAGACCCTGTGCTTTGCCAACAGTTTCAAGCTCAGTGCTTTTGGCGAGGGAAGTACGATGGCGACCTTCTTAGCCAACAAGCACTGCACCAAAGTGTCCATTCCAGAGGTGGAGCTGCAGCAGCCTAACAACTACATGGTCTACCACATAGCTGTCGAGGTCGGATCCGTCTCATGGAAGGTGTCCCATCGTTACAAGAACTTTGTGGACCTCCACGAAAAGTTGGTGGCGGATCATGGGGTCGCTAAAGATCTGTTACCTCCCAAGAAAGTGATTGGCAATCGCGACCCAGTATTTGTAGAGAAGAGGCGTTCTGCGCTTGAGGTGTACCTGGCAAGCGTGCTTACTTTCCTGCAGCAAACGATGCCCAGGGAGCTGGCGCTATTTCTTGACTTTCACAAGTACGATGTCCTATTCATACTTCAAGAACTGGCTGTCACCTTTTTTGAGGGAGGCGATGAATATCTGAGGATGTCTAAGGATTATGAGTTCTCTCCTCTTCAGGTATGTCTTGTTAAACCCTGAATACTTGTGTCATCTTTTAACACATAGATATGTATATAAATAATAGAATTTTTTTTTTCCAGCTTCATGCTATTAGTGAAAGACTGAAACAGCCCTGTCCTCCCCGTGAAATGGTTGACAAAAAATTCGACTTCAGCCATGTTCTAGATTTCTGCTATCAGCTCACAAGTCTCATGATACACGGATCTAGCAATACATTTTACAACAGTAATATTGTTTTTAATAAGTTGCTTTTTGAACTGTCTTCCTTTAAAGCTGTAGATACATTGTTTATCAGTTCTCTGCCTGTGGCCAACATTTACAGCGTTGGACCTTTAAGAGACAACTTAGTATCGCTCACTGTGCATCATTGCCGGCTTGAGCGCATCTCACACGTTCTTCTATGTGACGATGTGCACAAGGATCCCTCCTCTATTGGGGACCCCCAAATGTGGAAAAAGTTAATGTGTGTTAATCTCAGCAATAATGAGATAAGTGAAATAGACGCCTCTGTCAAGCTGATGCCAAGGGTGGAGAGACTTGTTCTGAACAATAACCGCCTGTACTCCCTGGATAATCTGACGCTCCTTCCCCATCTCGCTCAGTTGCACCTCGCAGCAAATTGCTTCACAAGTCTTATTAATCTCCACTACAAAATAGGAAATGTTGTGCACCTTGATCTCTCTGAAAACAGAATATCAACTTTAGAGGGTTTCTCAAAACTTTACTCACTAGAAACATTAAATCTTGCATCCAATCAGATTTCAGATATTGATCAGGTAAAACACATCTGTAACTTACCTTGTCTGGAAAACCTTGTACTTACTGGAAATTCAGTTGCTATAGTTGTTGACTACAGAGTGAAGGTCCTTGAACAGTTTGGGAACCGAGCAACATCTATTTGTCTGGATAATGAAATTTCTTCCCAAAAAGAACACGACACTGTTGCTGTTCTCCAGGCCCTAAGGAAGGCTAGAGAGGGAAGAGCCAACCCTCTTGTACATTCCTTAACTCCTTAAATATAAGAGTACAATAATTTTAATTAATAATTAAAGTTTCTAAAAAACATGTGATGTAAGTCAAATGGAGTAAGCAGGTTCTTTTTCATTTGATTGAAGACAATATTATTCTAGATATAAAGTTTTAGTATATATACTGCAATGTATATAAGATAGTATCTTATGAATGTAAGCCAAATCACTTGTGATACTGTCACTACTGTTGTAATTTTCTCTTCCAATTCTTTTAAGTATTACATAAATCCTTCTCTGGACAAATAGTCCTCAAAGTCATGTATGTTTCTTGCAAACCATGTATTATATTTCTGTGATACGATTTATACTCTATGTGTATGTATTTTCTGTTGTAATTATATGTTGTCAGACCACAATTATACCATCATACTCCAGTATTGGACTAATATAGCAGATATCATTTATTTTCCTTGCTTAATTGTGTATTTTTTTGCTTATTGCACCTTGATATTCTCCTGAATGAACAATCTTTATGTCCGCTATTTATTGTATTGTTAAACACCTAAAAAAAAAATTCTTATTTTCTATCCAAACTTTTTCTTCAAAAAGAAATGCATTATTATTTTTCCGGACGGCACAAACTGATTTCAACATTTCAAATATACCCCGCGACGACGGCTTGCAGGCAGGCCACCCTCGAGCGCGCATGCGCAGAAGAACTGGTGGTTTGCCGGGAAATAATCGAAAACAGCTGCGGCTGCGGCAGAACAAAACAAACAAACAAACAAAGCAGGCCTCACCTCACGGAAGAATCGCGTGTGGAGACATTCAGCAAGCATTCATTCAGCAAACTTTCAGTGAATCATGTCATGACACTTTGATGTTAGAACGTCAAAGGACACTCTAAATCAATCCGAGCTACATCCGAAGAAAATTTTATCCAATATCCAGTGTTTTCAACAGGTTAAAAGTTACGAAAGTTAAAATGGATAAAGACATTGAAAGTTTATGGCTGTGTTTGCCGGCTAAAGAACACGACGCTAAAATACTCATCCATAGAATAGCCTGCCACTTTCAAAATTATTTCACATCTGAAGACATAGGTTAGTATCTTGTTGATGTTAAGGTCTGTAGAACAATATACCCAGCCAGTCGATTAGGCTTCTATTTAACGATGACATCTATTTTCGGACCAAAAATGGAATTCAGCATTTTGAAGACGTCTAGCAGATGTCCAGTATATAAAGCGTTTCTGGCTGGTATAGTTTTAAAGGCATTTGGTTACCCTGTATTTATAGTTCTTTTTAACATTTTTTGCTTCCCCTTTACAGATCTATCACTGCACCTTCTATTTCAAGAGGAAAAAGGTCTTAAGTCCTTTTTGGATGCTTTATCAAACAGCAACATGAAAAAAGTCTCTTCTGATGTCCTGAATTTTTTAGAATTTCTTATTGTTAAGTTACCGTTTAGTCTTGAAAACTATGTAGTCATTATCAGAGTAAGCACCCAATCGTGTTTGGCGTTGTTTCTTTATCTTTCATTGAACTTTAATAATACATGCATTTTTTCAGGATATTGCAATGTCTTATGTCCAAAGAACTTCTTCATCTGCTGAGGAAAAAGATAGAGCTTTTGATATCCTCATTGCTCTTGTTCAGAATGGACCATGGAATGCAGATTTACAAATCACACCCATTGTTACTAAGCTGTTCAGTATGGCATCACATAGCACCAGCAAGCCAACAGGTATTTCTCACAAGACCAAGGCTTTTATTCTTTACTTACAGAGGCTAGATTCATTTGAAACTCTTCTTGTTTTATTCAGTTCTACGCAAAGTTTACAAACTTATAGGAGCACTAGCTGAGCACCTACCTCATGATATCAATTTTTTATCGAAGCGCCTTCTTGATGCATTGATGATGGATTTGGAATACCAGGTTTATTTTGCTCATTTAAGTCATAGTGATTGTAACTGCTCATAATGATAGCAAGTTTCTCCTTTTCAGATTTTCCATTCTCGCAAAGTGGAATTTACCATTATTGAAGGCTGTTTGGATGGACTGACTGGTTTCCTTCATTCTTTCCCTTTAGACGGTTCTACTGATAGTGAAAGATGCAATAAAATAGTTGATTGTCTTTGGAAAACTCTGCTGCTGGTAGATGTGCACCGGAAAACTGCACCTAGAGGTAATGCTTTACAGCTCTGTACTGTGTCATTTACAACTTAGTGTAATATTTTCTTTTAATTTTGTGAATGATTTTTTTTCCTGTACTAAGCTGCATTGAATTTGCTAGCCAATCACGGAGATCAATTTCGTGCTAGTTTAGTTCTCAAATTTGAGGATTGGCACAAAACTCTTTGTAGGTGGCTACCAATTGGCAAGGACGAGAGGAGGGTTGGGAAGCAAGCATTACTCACATTTTACTACATTATGGCAAATCATATTACTGGTCAGCGAGGGCCAAAGGTACGACCCCCCTACTCATCCTTTTTCCCTTTCTTTTTTTTATGTTTTGAAAGTTAAATAAAACTATTACTTTTTTCAGGATACATTAGATTTCTTCTGTAACCATTTTAAAAACCAATTTCAAATGTCGATGGATGTAGATATTGCAGTGAAAGGATTTGGACTGTTTGCAAAGCCAATGAAATTACTTTCTCCTGAAGAAATTCCTGTGATATTCAATATTATAGCTCAGAAGTCACATGAGGAATCCTTCAAGTAAGTACTGAAAACACATATACAAAATTTGCTTAATAGAGATGTTTTGATCCCTTTTTTTGTGTGCACGGTTACAGGAGTAACCATCATAGGTTGGCAGATTACTTGGATTCTCTGTCCATGTTTAGTGTGGAAGCGGGTGTTGTGCACAGCTTACAACTCTCTATTCTTGAAAGTTTGTCTGTCCAATTGATTTGCCAATACGCAAAGGAGGAGCATCCTGACTGGCAAAGAGTTATGGTTGATGCTGTTATTTGTACCTTGCAACGCCTAAGAAAATGTGGTGTGGCTTTGGATAGTTTTATGAATGTTGTCGGTATGTTTGCTTGATCTGTGTTATAAGTTCTAATCCACCTTGGCTGAGATTTTTTGCGTATAAACTTTTGTTATTGAATTGGTATTTTTTCTTTCTTTTTTAACAGTACATCAAGGAATTATAAGGTCAGTTACACACCCTGTCATTGAGGATGCTGAAATACTTCGTGATACTCAACAAAAGGTCATAACATATGAGAACTACCTCCCATTTTGGCAAATTTTACTAACTCTAGATACATCTAATAAGAGACTTTTAAGAGGTTTGTATTTCCGTCCTGCAGAGATTCCATCCAATATCGTTGTAATGTTCCAAAGCTGTCATAAATACTATGTTTTTCTTCTTCTTTGAAACAATTAAATATTCTATAGAGGCATCTATTGAAGAAAAGAGAGACATTTCAAGAGCTCTGGTCAGTAAAATATTGGATTCTGTTCAGGACATTATCAATAGACTTGATCTCAGCTTACAAGAAAATAATTCATCTGAATCAGTAAGCAATTCTCCTCCTTTATGTATTTTAAGTAGGATTTTGATTTGCGCCCAGTGTGTTTCTAATTTATACTTTTCCAATATTTCAGATTGACCATTGCAATGTGGAGAAATGTGTGGAAGCTACTAACCCACAAGATTTCACGGTTCTTGTGAACCTTGTCAATTTTACTATTGATCTTTTGAGCAGTCTTCCTGACCAATCTCTCCTAGCCAACTGGTTCACTCCACTGATTCTGTATTGTATCAAGCTGTCATCCAAACATCCATTAGTGAGCAGCTTTTACAAATTATTGGCCAACATTGTTAGGATTGCAGAAAATCTTGACTATTTTGAGCAAGAGAAAGATGAAATGGAAGATCTTGAGTGGAGATCAACTGTAAATCTCTTAAGTGCTTTCCTATATGATGTTATTTCTCGGCAAGCACAGTACCGCAGTGACCTGCAGGTTTCATGTTTGCGTTTGATGTTAGCTACTCCGTCTTGCATCGCTTTACCTCTTCTGCGCGTATGTGTTCCTGCATTTCAGTCAGTTTTCCAAATAGGCTGCAGCATGTTGTCTTTAGCCCATGAAGGCTTGCATACTTTGTCTCGCTGGAACCAGGATCTTCCTGGCGAAAAGATGAGAATTCTTTTGAAAGCTGTCTTACCCTCATTTGATAGTCTGCTCCAGACAAAAGATAGTGTTCCTGTTGATGAAGATGACGGCAATCTTTATGGGATGACCATGGTAAAAACCGTCCTGCAAGAACAAAAAAAAAAAAAGTTGTGGAAGTACAAAGTGAATTCTCACTCAGATACAGAGTTGGTCAAATTGCAAAAGGAAGTGGTTGTCTTTTTGAGCACATTGGATAGCTCTGTTTGTCTCTCTTTGTTGGATGGGAGTGAGGATAGGGTAGGTGTCACAGCTTGGCAGAAGGAGAGACTGTTAAAGTTTCCTATGCCTTTTCAAGACATGAAGGTAGACATCAGTTTAGATGACTTACTGCCTCGCCTAGTGCACTTAGCTGTCAACTGTAGTGATCGTCAGACAAAAACTGCTGCATGTGAATCACTACATGCTGTAATCATGTTTATGCTCGGAAAAGAAAAGCAGTTGGAAACTGCACACCAAGGTCACTTGACTTCACTTTGGGTTCACCTTTTCCCCAAAATATTCAGCCTTGCATGTGATGTTGACATAATTGTAAGCCAGCTTTTTAAACCATTGGGTGAGCAGTTGGCTCATTGGTATTCCAGCAAACTGAATGAAAAGAGTGAACAGGCTGATGCTTTTTTGAGAGCAATCCTTGATGGCATAACACACCAGACGGATGCAGCTTTACGTGATTACTCCGCTACCTGTCTTCATGAGTATGTTAAATGGTCAAGAAAGCAAGGAAACATGATGGCAAAAGTTGCACCTGTGATAAAGTTTGTACTAAGCATGTTCCGTCATCCATGCCCTCAGAAACGCATGGGTGCCTCTCTGGCATTTAATAGTATGTATGCTGTTTTACGTGAAGATCTTAAAATTGTTGATGAATTTTGGATTGAAATACTGTATGGCCTAGTGACTGGTCTTTCTTCGTGCTCAATAACGGGTGAAGACAGTAGCGCAGAGGCTCATATTGACAAGTCGCTGCAACATGTACTTAGAGTATTAATGGAATGCTCTAACAAGTTCAATTTGGATAGCCCTTCCCGGCGAATCCCGAGAGAATTGACTGGAAGAAATTTGTGGCATGTGGTACGCTGGCTGCTGAAGTACTGCACTGCATTAAACTCTCAATGTCGTCACAGCAGTATGAAATTGGTAGATTGTTTGGCACGTTATGTTTCTGATTGTCGGTCTACAAAAGATTTTATTGAAAGTGTGATATCAATTGAAGGCAATTGTAGCCTTTTGTTGGTGGCAGAAGGTGAAACTAGTTTGCGTACAACTTTACCAAGTTCAGCTCCATGGGATCAAGCCTTAGCATGGGTGTTCTCATTGCTAGCTAGCATGGAATCATACATATGGCTGATGGAAGTGAACATACCTCCTGTTACTTTGTTTGACCTCAACAGTTCTAAAATTACTCCGGTAAAGTATTAAAGATTTTCGTGTACACTATCTCCATACCATGTAGGGCTTATACTTGTGGGAAAAAAAAAACAACAGAAATTGATTGATGGTATCCCTCATTGACAGGCTTTGATGCACTTTTTGGAAAGTATAGTTGGTACTCCAATCAACCAACCCTCACTGTGGAGGCCTAAAGCTATGGAGCAATTCAATTATGCCAAGTGCACTACTATTGTGCGGATGATTGATTTTTTTACCGCAGTTCTTGACATAGGTCAAGGATCAAAGTTAAGCCCCTTCTGGTCCTCAAATTTCTGGAAACTGCTCATCAAGTTTGTATCTAAGTTTATCAGTTACTTTGTGTGTGAATAGTTAGCTTGTCAAGTGGCATTGAAATCATTGTAACTTTTGTTTCAGTTGCTGTGTCTGGCCTTCAAATCTGGGCTTTGACTCCACCTCAAAAAATGTTGAAGAAAACCTTTCCATCACAGTTCAGAGGTTCCTTAGGTCTCTGAATACCCATGCTCCGGCGTCTGCGGTTAATGATTTAAAATGCATTTTAAAGGATTATTTATCATCTGTGGCCCCGGATATGCTTAATAGATTTCACGAAGCTATCCGACGCGATAGAGTGCTGCCGCACGACAAAGAGCTTGTTAGGGGTCTAAGTGTCCTCCAAAGTGTTTTCAAAGTATTACCCTCTTTTATTACATCCGCACCAAAATATTATTTTATGCAATGTTGATTGTAATAACTTTTGATTTTTTTTAGGAGACTCAAATGTGGAGTGGCTTGATTGGTGAGAGAAGTCTGGTTGCAGTTTTTCAGGCCATTGTCGAACCTGTCTTAAATAGTGAGCACAAAGCACCTGTGAGTCTCAACCCGACAGCACGGATGTATGCTCAATCAATGCTGGAATTTTATTTCTCAACTTGCCCTGAGGTGTAATTTGAAACTATCTTTCTTTATCCATATTCCATTAATTTCATGTGATTTTCAAAAAGCTCATTTTCGTCTTCTTTATTTTAGCTAAACCAACTTATAAACAATATTTTAGATAGGTCTCCTCTTTCTCAACGTGATTTACAATGTAGTATTACCCACGGAGAACATTTTGTGGCTTGTTTTGAAGCTGTACTTGTGCCAAGACTGTTGGGAGTACATCACCAGACCGTAAGTGCTCTGGCAGAGCATTTAACTCCTGAGGTCAGCCCTCAACATTTGACAATTTTATCTTCAATTTTGAGGTGGCGCTGCTCAGTCAGTTCTACTACTCGGTAATGTGCACTGTACTTGTCAAGTCGCATCAAATTTTGATCAAATGATCATTGTTTTCTGAAACCTTTGTAATTACTATTTCAGGTATCATTTAATGCAAACAGTTGCTTGCTTGTTTTCAAAGTGGGACAAATTCATTTTCTGGGCTAATGCTGATCCATGCAAAGAGGCCTGGTTAATATCTCTAATTAATCAGATTGTAGAACTCGACATTGATTTTCATTCTGTCGAAAATGTCACTCACATTTGTTCATGGATTATTAAGCTTCTCACAGACTCATCTAGAACTTTGTCGCTTAAAACCGACTTGCTGTATTGTCTGCCAATTGTATGCTCAATTTCTGAACCAAGTGATGTGAAAAATTCCCTATTGTCTTTGAAAAATCAACATTTTCCAGTTCAATGCTCAGAATTCAGACCAGGCTCTGAAGAGTTGGCAACTTTCAAGAGAGCATTTGAAGCATTATTGCAATCTCTTGTAATAACCGGAAGCAGTTCTATTTTGAATATTGTGATTCGAACAATGACTGTTGATCCTAACCATAATTGTCGACATCTTTTACCATCAACTCTACAAAAATACATGGCTGTTTTACAAAAAAGTCAAGATCATCAAGTTGAGTCTCTTAAGCTTGTGTTTTCTATGTTTGAAAATGAAACTATATCTGTGGAGTACCGGGCTAAAATTCTCAATGAGTTCCTCCTTAAATTGATGCAATTTGCCTCTCTTTCAAGTCAAGTGTCCTTTTCAGTTTCAACAATAAGCAAGTTGGTGAAGAGAATCACTGAAGGCTTTAGTATGAAAACAGATGTGGGTAAACAAAAGCATAAATTGATGTCCCACATTGGTAGCTGGCAACTGCTTCAACATATTTATGGATTTTCTATGAAAAGTTTGCTAGAGGAGAAAGGAAGTGAGCTAGTGCAAGCTGCATTCTCTGGATCTGAGACAAAAGTTACCAGTGGTAAGGAACTCTATACGCTAATAGTTAAAACAGGATTAGCAGCATTTCAAAACCCTCTGAATTTTGAAGGAATAAGTGATGCCAAAGAGTTGTACCGTCAATACCTCTGTGCTATTTACAACACTATAGCTACAGTATTTTGTAATCTGAAGACCCAAGTAGCTGATTTGAAGTTCTATAAGGTACTTTTTGCTGAAAACACCAGGAAATTTTGGCGTTTATTGGTAGATGATGATAAATGTTACATGTTGCCATTCCAACAAACTGAGCACTTGAAAAATGTAGAAAAGATAGTTTCCATTAGAAGAAATGTATCAGAGGCGAAAGACTCCTCTCAAAGAATGAATGCCCATAAGTCTCTTCAACTTCTCCAGTCACCATCATTGGCTGGATCACTTGAAACTGATATTACAAGATTTGATTTTACTTATTCACGACTACTCAAGCCAACTGATAACCATGAAGCAGATGCTGAGAAATCTGTGATAATGCTGGAAAATGATTCGTTGAATGACCATGAATGTATGCCAACGGTGTGTAGTATTATACGACACTTGGTGGATTGTGGAATCTCTCCGGCCCCTGTCCAAGGAGCCAAACCAACTTTGCCTGAATGGATGGATCTCTTGAAGAATTCACTTACTGATCTGTCAAATCCAAGGAATAGTCAAATATTCATTCTGAGAGTGATTTTGAATTGTGAAGTATACTTTTCTACATATGCCATGGTGTGGATGGAACCAATGTTGGACTGTGTTTTGAGAATTTGCTTACAAAATGGTATCAGCTATCTCTTAGGAGATTTGGTTTGTATGCTGGCAAAGTGGAATGCTGAACATCAAACGGTGGTCCTCAATAAAAGTCAGCTGAACATTTTATTTGGTTATCTTGTAAAGCACTGTCCACACTCTGATAAGGCTGTTTTAAGGTATCACTTAGAGTTGATCAAAACTATGCTTGAAGTCTGGAAGAATTATATTGATCCACCTCATGATTCATTACTGAGCATGTTGGATAATCCTGATGCCCGAGTTGGTATTAATTTGACTGCAATCATGCTATTCCATAAGCTCACTCCATGGACTACAAAGTCAAAGCAGTCTTTTATTTCATTCCTCCTGAAGAATTTGAACAATAACACCAAGGAGATATACAAAGCCTCTGCAGAAACTCTTGGAATGTGTTTGAACCAAATGTGCTGCCTTAATGATGGTCTATTATCCATTGAAGACCAAAAGTTTGTTGATGAACTGGAAAATATTTTGAAAAATGTTAATTTAGCAAAACGTGATTGTGAGAAATTTCTTGTTTTGCTGGATAATGTTTCTGAAAACTACATTCAAATTATTGACAATTTTGTATCAAATATTCTTGTTTATCTGAACCAAATAGCAGGACACAGAGCTCTCTGTCTAAACCTTTTATCAAAACGTCTTGAAGTCATTGGTGGGAATCCTTACCAAGAGTTGAAGGGGTGTGGATTACTAACCATGATAGGAGATCAAGAATCTTTGGTTCAAGTCAAAGTGCTGCAGATTCTCCGTGAACTTGCGCTTGCGCCTTCTTTGCAAGATAGTGAACTAGACGAAGTTATCCATCATATTTCCCCTATAAATTGCTATGTCAAAGGAGAAGCCAGAAACCTTGTGCATGAGATATCACTCATTGCTTTTGATCGCTATTTGCCTATGCATGAAAGCAACAAATTGTCTGAAATTGAAAAGAAAATTTTTGATGAAAGCAAAGCTCTCCTTTTGCTTGGCCTTGTGGATTCAAATGCTGATTTGCAAAAGAAAAGCTTTTCAAAGTGGACAGATGAGGAACGTCTTCCACAAAATGTTGCTGAGCGGCTCTCAACAATGTTTTCGCTGCTGTACTCTCCCCTAACAGAGCAGTATTTCCTGAGCTACTGTGTGCCACTTCTGTTAGCTGGTACTAGATCCACTCCAGATTTTGACTCTCCACTTTTTTCCCATGCACTTGATGATTGTGAGTTTGGGGTAAGTTTGGGGAGAGAAATACTCATGGTCTATCAAACATAATTTGCTCTTCAATTTATTTTCTCTTATGCTGTTTTTACTTCTAGGAAATGCATTTACTTACCTCTTGGAGAGTTAAAAACGCCCACATGGCTCCATTGTATGCCCAGACCTTATCCAGTCAAATAAGTCTTCAGGATTCATCTAGTTCTTTAGATACATCCTACCCCCTTTTAGCTACACAAAACAGTCTAATATTCCAGCCTACTGCAGACTTCCCTGGTAATGTTGCCTTTGGTGCCAATGAATTGATCTCGATTGATGAAGTAGGCAAAGAACAACATAGTTAATTTGTGATTTCTTTTCAGATGGAAGTGATGCTGCAAATTCTGCAACAAAACTAAAAAGTAGTCTCTCACGATCAAGCTTTCTTTTCTCACAAGATACCAGTCAAAGTAGTAAGACTGCCTTAAGGGGGAGTTTTAAACAAGGTGCTAACTTTGGGTCAGATCTCCTTCAGCTCTCTGAGCCAACTGAGCATGGTATGTATGAAGGGATTTATTAAATTCTGCAATTTTCAGCTCGTTTGGCACAGTAATTTATAAACTTTTCTCTTTGTAGAAAAAAGTCCTAAAAGAACTGAGAGAGCTTCTCGCTATTTTGGTAGGAGCAAAGCAGTAAGTGTGTTTAGCAAGGCCAATGTGAAGAGAGCTAAGAGGAGAGAAGAAATGTGGAGGGAGCGTAAACTCAGAAGAGAAGGGCAGGTTGCTATGCACAGAAAGTACAGGCTGGGAGATCTCCCAGATATCCAAATTAAGTTTGCAGATGTCATAAACCCCTTAACGGAATTAGCAAGGGTAAGATTTGAAAAGGAAAAGGTATACCTGCAAAAACCATCTCTAACTTCTTGTTTTTGAATCTGTTTGTACTTGTTTTTTGCAGCACGATTCAATAATAGCAAGGAAAATAATGGTGAGCCTAGTTGTGGGGGTAAAAGAAGTGATAGATGCATCTGACAATTCTAATGACTTTAAAAAGCTGACATCTGCGTCACTGAATAATGTTCTGAAACAAAGTAAAAATTTTGAACCCTCTATAATTGGAGCTTGCCTAGAAATAGCTTACCACTGTCAATTCTCTCTTGATCCACATCTTGTAGCTGAAGGTATTTTCATGTTTGAACCTGGTATTACTGTCAGACAATGCTTTTGCATATATTTTAACTGATTTGTTTAAATTATAGTTGCTCTTGGTAGTAATTTGCTGGCCCTGGGTGTGCTGCTTCTTGAGGCTGCAGCTACATGGAATGAGAATGTTTGGTTACATCTGGCAGAGTAAGTATTTATTTCTATAGTGTGGCAGATGTTACAATGTTTTGTGATATTGTTATTTTCCTTTGCCATTGAAGGCTTTATGATGGACTCGGAGAGCGGGACGTGGCTCATTCAACTCTCCTACACAACGTACCTCTTGACAAAACAGCAAAGGACGCACTGGTGGCTCATGCAGAAGAACAATGGCTGAGAGCCAAACAGCAATACTTTGTGGCCTTAAAAGACACAAAATATGATAACTTTTATGAGAGTTGTTTTGAGGTATGTGGTATTTGCTTACAAAAAAATCTGAAAAAATATTGTGCTGCCAATTAATTTCATCGAATCTAATGATTGCAGTGCATGGCTATTTTGTCTGATTGGGATCAAATGAATGATGTGATTAGGGAAGAAGTGGATAATGAATTGGATAATTTGTGGAATAACAGCTGGTGAGTTATTGATATTTAATTTACTTTATTCCTGTGCGTTTCTACAGCTTCGCCCACTTTTCATCTATCTACTTTCAATTTTTTTGATTAACTTAAAAATTACTGTTTGTGACATTTTTCAGGTATGAACAGAAACTTCTTCCCAGATTGCTTCATAGTGAGGTTTTGGGGTTGGTTCAGAGAAATGAAGACAGTAAACAATTCCTGAATGTCATCAACAGATGGCTAAAAGATGATGCCAAATCATCAACCTTGAGTGTAAGTATTCTGCAAGATTCTATGCCAGTTAAAATATTCTAGAAGGTAATTGTAACCTTTCCAATTGTTTGCTTCAGTCTCGCTTCAGTGAAGAGTTGTCTATTATCTGTCTCATGAAGAAAAAATTTCCTCAGTCTCGATTTTATGGAAGCAAGACTTTATCAAAATTTGTGGATGAATGGAGTGAATTGAACCCGCTATTCAGAAAGCGTAGAGAAGTAATGCTGCTTGGTATTCATTCAATAACTGATGCCATGGTAAAATTTATCTACTGTACTTTGGTTTAAAAATAATTGACTTGGTTTGTTTTTTTCTTAATGTTAGCATCATATTTTTCCAGGCTTTCTTTGTAGAGGGGAAAGAATTGCAATCTGTCGAAGAATCTAGGAATGTTCTGAAGAAGTTTGAAAAAGTGTTACCTGTTCCTCAAGACTCTTTGATGAGCTGGGAGACACGCCTCACATACAGGTTATATTATATGTGCTTTTATATGTAATGCTGTTGTACTTCTAAAGTACTACCAATGTACTAGCCTTGAAACATACGGATTAGTTTTTAAAATAGTCTATCTATCTATCTATAGATTTGCTTGCATGAAATATATGCCCACTGAGATGGAAAAAGAAGTGGAGAAATCAGCATTGAGAATGCAGCTTAGTTTGGCTGAAGCTGCTCTTCAGCAAGGAAACCAGAATTTTGCTAAAAAATATATTGTAGATATGAAAGGAAAGGTATGGGACTCTCCCTTTTTTCTGCACTTTTTTTTTTTCTGTTACTCTAGAATATTTCATAATTGTTGGCACATGGGAAACTTTTTCTTTTAGATTCAGTCATCATCAAGTCCAACACTGACAACCAGATGGCTGATAGCTAGGAGTTCAGAGAGACACCAATGGGCTAAAAGAGAACAAAATAGTGTCACACGTTTAGACAATTTGCTCAAAGTTTGGAGGCAACTAGGTGAGTTTTAAGTTTTATGCCTCTTACGTCATGTGGTTGTATTAACTAAATAATGGTTTTTGACTTTTTCAGATACTGTTCTTGCAAGTGATGATTTGGATGACCATCCTGACCTCAGTGTCATAGCTCACAGTGTAGAGAGTAACTTAGCTCTAACAATTAGGGAAACGCTTTCTGCAGAACCACACTCTTTGAATACCTTAATAAAAAATCAGAGTGATGGTCATAATTGGCTTTGTAATAAGTTACAGTTACAACCTGGTGTTTCATGGTAGTGTCTCACTGGCCACTTTTTTTCTTTCTTGTCTTGTGGTTGATAGTGGTGTTTTTAATGTCCATTTTCCATTTCTATGCAGTGAGGACATCAAGAGTACTTTGGACACTCTTGGTCTTAACAGCCTCATCCACTCTAAAAACATCGCAAAGAAGCACAAGGATGCAAGCAGCTTTCTTACTGAACAGACTGCTGAAGCTTATTTGCAGATAGCCCAATACTGTCGCAACCTCCTAGAAAACCAGGAAGGTTCCTCAGGTACAAGTAAGTTCTGCAGGATCTTTGGTTCCCACCTCCAACGAATCTATCTTCACTTCTCTTGAATTTATTTTTGTTCATATCTGCTACTTTTTTATCTTTAGACACAATTGCTAGACATTTAGTGAAAGCCATACTTTGTGCTATGAAGTGTGGCTCCAACCGAGCTCGACAGCTTTTTCCTTTATTACTCCAACTTCCAACTCTCTCGTCAAATCTTTCAAAGGACTTTGCTGAGAAAGTAAGAGAAGTGTTTGGTATATTGTCATAAGAAATTTACTGCTAGTGCTAGTGGCTTTACTCTGATTCTTTCATTTTTTGTAGAGCTCTTCAATCCCTGTATGGATGTTCCTTGGTTGGATTCCACAGTTGTTAGCTATGTTGGACAGTCCAGCAGCTAAGCTTGTTGCCCCATTGCTGCTGAAAATTGCTGAAACTTATCCAAATGCAGTTTGTTATCCATACAACATTAGCAAAGAGAAAAATAGTAGCAGCACTGTCAAGCTCGACGTGATTAAGAAGTGAGCGTGTAATTAATCATCTGATTATACACCTTTTTTCTCACAACAGCACTGATACAAATTTTCTTATCTAGATTGGACCGCTTGTTGGAAGATTCCTCCTTTCAAATACCCCTCGTGAAAGCTCTCTCGTGCTTGACCTATCCTAGTATTATTTTGAAGGACTATACCAACAAACTTACAGAGGCCATGAAAAGTGCCCCCATCAATTGGCTGTCCTTGAAAGAAGTATGTCAATTCATACATATTATTATATTTCATTTCCTTAGAAATTTGGAAATCTGACCAAATATATTTTTCTTTTAGATTTGTGATGAATTTTCTTACATCCATAAGGAAAGTGGTGGACCTTCACAGTGTGCTGGAAATTTTTTTCACAGCTATAAGCATAAGGAACATGACATTCCTGCACTGTTTGATGAACTTTGTGGTAGGTTTTCTATTAATGCAAATGCAAATTTTAATTGTGTTTCCTTTCAATGTGTTTTTTCTTAACCTTCCTATCAAGCTGCTATAAGTGAAAGGAATACCACAGTTGCCTCTGAGATTATTAACAAAGTGAAGAAAACCCTAGAAAAAGTAAAAGAATTGGACTCAAAAAATATCAAGCACTATTCAAAGTTGAAGGACTTTTCACCTTGGCTTGCTGAATTTTCATCATCTAAAAAAAACATTTGTATTGAAATACCAGGCCAATATACTGGTGATCAGAAGCCAAACCCTGAGAGGCATATTATGATATCTGGATTTAATGATACAGTAGGTATACCTGGTTGATGAAATTGCTCTTGTAGCAATGCTTTTTAAATGCTAAACAAATATATCATTGTCTGTGCTTTTGTTTTTGCAGGTTCTGGTTATGCCATCCATTCGAAGACCTGTAAAACTTACTGTAATTGGCTCTGATGCCCAAAGTCACAACTTCTTGGTAAAATATGGAGAGGATTTAAGGCAAGATGAACGCGTGCAACAGCTCCTAGGTCTCATGAATGGCATTTTCTCTAACAACCACCTCTGCAGGGATCGTCACCTATCTGTTGTCACTTACAAAGTAAGTTTCTGCAGACAAATTCTTGTCATACTTTACCTAAATAAATATCACATTTTAAGGTCAAGTTTACCATTGATTATATGAATTCTTAGGTGATGCCTTTATCAACCAGGCTGGGCATGATTGAATGGGTTGACAATACATCGTGCTTGAAGGATGTCATGATGTCATCAAGACAACTTTCAGACCAGGATAGAGTCAGGTTGGTTGTTGTTCATAACTTTTGTTTTCCTAATGAATCTAAAAAGTCTTCAAAGGTAATTTGGAATGTTTTTCTGCCTTTTTTCTGGATTACTTCTTAGCATACGAACTAAGCATGAGTCTTGGCTAAAGAAATACGTCAAAGTAAAAGATCAGAATATTAATATTTACGGCATTGCTCACGATCAAATCAGTAGAGAGGCTTCTGTCACACAGTTCAACAAATTAGTATCCATGACAAAGCCAGATCTTTTAAGGTAAGCTCATGTTTTGTAAAATTAATCTGGTGAACTCCCTATATTTTATCTAAAAAGAGATTGTCTCCTCTATATTTCAGGAAGGGGTTGCAGTTGTGGAGTTCAAGTGCAGAAGGCTTCTACTGGCTTCGTCACTCTTTCATTACCAGCTACAGTACACTCTGCATCGCTCATTGGCTTTTGGGGGTGGGCGACAGGCATCTCCAGAACTGCTTAGTATCTCAGACTAATGGGCAATGTATTGGCATTGACTTTGGACATGTCTTTGGATCTGCAACCCTAAATCTTCCTGTACCAGAATTAATACCATTTAGGTTAACTCCTCACATTGTCCATGTCACCCAACCTCATGGAACAAAAGGTATAAAGTAGACCACTATCTTATTTTTCTACATGTAGAAGGGGTATACTGTATTTTACTCATGATCCACTCAACAGGTCTAATTCAGGAGACGATGGTCAATGCACTGCGTGCTTTGCGGGCTGACCCTGAAATACTTTTGGCCACAATGCAGGTCTTTATCCAAGAACCATCTCTTGACTGGCTCCTACTAGCCAAAAAGCATTGGTCAGAAAGTGAAGGTAAATTTGAAAACATTCACTGTCTACTGGAAACTTGAAAAATTTGTGCTTCATAGAAAATGTGTTTATGTTTTCAGAAAATGCAAATCCTGCATGGCTTCCTGTTGTTAAAATTCATCAAGCCAAAAAGAAGCTCAAGGGGACCAATCCTGTACATCTCATGAGAGAAGATTTAGAGAGCAAAATTCATACAGTGTTCAAGGATGGGTATCTGAAAACATTAAATGGCGATGCTTCTCGCAACATTCGGGCCAAACTAGGGTATAATGATCTTACTCCACGACAACAGGTGGAGTGCTTGATTGACTTAGCAACTGATCCTAATGTGCTTGTTAAAACTTATGGGGGATGGGAACCATGGTTGTGATCTTTAAAATGTCTAGTCTCATACATAGATCATTTTAATAACTACAATCATCAAGTATTAATAATAACTTAATGTGTCTTTTTATTGCATGCATTTTTAAATTTTTTATAAATAAAAAAAATTAGAAGAAACGTTATCACCACTCTTTCAGATTTTCTATCTCTTTATATCCTGCGTCCCAAAATCTCACACAGCACCTGGATTTCGTAGCAGGCATGTGCTTACGAATTTGACGGGAGTCCATACGAGTCTTTCTAGTCCATAATTGGGGGTAAACTCTGCTGGGTGCGAGCGCGGCCAGATGGCAACACGGGAATGACCAGGTCACTGACTGTTCTCCGTGCAGGGCTACAACTCGGGAGACAGCTGTGCGCAGCGGGAACGTCTACGTCCCAGGCGCTCGTCGCGCGCCCACGACAACTTCTCTCAGGTCTTTTCGTCATGCGTTTAAAAATGAGAGGAGAGAAACAGTAGGCGGTGGAAGCCGAAGGGGGCCTGACAGCGCACGCCAGTGCAATGTGAGCGGGGGTGGAGGCGGGCTCCTGCACGGGCTCGGCGGCCGGGGCCGGCCAGTCGCGGCCACAGAGCGCCCCGAGGCAGACGAGGACGAGGAGCAGCCCCAGCGCCCCATCCAGCACGACCCCGACAGACCGAACCAGAACCGATCGGGTACCCCGTCTCTAGACAGGTAGGTGTTCGGTTCTTCCGATCCCGATCCTCGGACTGTAGTAACTTTTCAGCGAAGAAGCCAAGTTGTTGTTAAACTGTAAAATTATTAATACTGTTGTTTTTGACGCGCATCTCAATTTTTTCATGAAAAATATTTAAGTTGCCTTATTTTTAAACGTTTCTAAAGTGTTCGGGGTTTGGGAGACTTTTCTTACTCTTCTTACTTTCCCTGAAATTTCTGGAAAATTTCTGGGAAATTTTCCGGAAACTTTCTAGGACTTCCAACCCTAGGAAAGCGCGACAGCTCATGTCTCACGCCGTGGAGCTCTTCGTGTAGAGATATGCAGGGTTGTCTTCCCTCTCGGGGGCGGGCCGCGCGAACCCGAGACCCATGTGCCGATGTAAGGCCGCCGCCGACTTCGCCGCAGACTCGTACCTCGCAACCCCTCTCTCTGTCACCCCCGTGGGCCGTGGGGCGGCGGCTCTGTTTGCGTGCCCCTCCGCCGGTGAGCCGGTCCACCGGTAGCCGAGAGGGCGTGCGGGCGGCGCTGCTGAGGGACTTCCCTGTCGCTCGGGCCGCGCCGCACGACCGCTTTCGGACGCAGCGCGGCGTGAGTCAGCGCACGCTTCCGTCCCATCCCTCTCTCTTTCCTCTATTTCGGTCCCGATTCTAGAAATATCCCCCCC